TATATATATATATATATATATATTTTTTTTTTTCCACCTATTCTTATTGTACATTTCTCTGTTTTAATTTTGAATCTCCCGTGGAAGCCTGAAGAGCGGGAGCGAAACCGGTTGCCCCCCCCCCACCCCTTGTTGTTGAGTTTTTTTTTAATTATTTAATATTGTTTTAATATGTCTTGTAATATTAAATTTTACACCTTTATTTCGATCATATATATATATATATATATATATATGGATATCCACTGTATCTTATATATGTTGGTTATGGAGTTAGAGTAGCTGGTACAAGTACTAATCGTCTCTGTTGTTTTTTTGTTTTTGTTTTTATTTTTTTTTTCTGCCATCGAGATACCGTAATTATCTTTTCTAAACCTGGAAGATATTTTTAAACTTTTTTTTTTTTTTTTTTTTGGTGGGGGAATATTGTTTTATATATGCTACATTTGTCAAGGTATTTACCAAATTCAGCTTAGTCTGGCACAAGACCAAATGACTCAAAGAGGTTTTAATCAAGAGATCGAAGAGCAAGACTTTGGAAAGCAAGAGATTAAGAGATTAATTAGCAAGTGATTGGAGATCATTGAGCAAGGTCAAAAAGCAAGTGTTCGGACAACAAAAGATTGCAGCTTAAGAGATCAGAGAAGAGCAGAGATCGAAGAATTGGAAAACAAGATCCAATAAATAATATAATAAATAAGGGAAATAAATAATCTAATAAATAAAGAATGTTTCTCAGTTTTGCCAATTCTCAAGAACAAAGAAAATGTATAAATTCACTTTTATATGTTTAGTTTTTATTAAAATTCTAATCGTTTTTAAAACAAAACATTGCCGAGGAGTGAAGGTTTGGTTTGGTTTGGTTTATTTTGTTTTACGGCATATCAACCTTAATGGGTTATTTAATGCCGACAACTGTTTTTATTGCTGGCAATTTTTTTATTTTTCGAAAATATATTTCTGGTAATATTTTTTTCTTCAAAAAAAGTATAGCTGATAAATATCTTTAAAAAAAAATTTATTTACAGTAGTCGGACTATTGTCCTCATCTTTGTCGCCATATTTGTCACAACGTTTCGGCCATTGTACGCTCCGGCCTTCTTCAGGTGGTTGGAATTTCGAACTGAACCCTTTATTGCGATCACTGGGGTAGACTGTTCTAGTTCCACGTTTGATGGATGTCAGTTATCAGTTATTTCCTGCTAATTTTCCCTCTGAAAGTTCTCCACTGTCTTAACCAGGAATTGAACTCTTTGGGTCTGTCACTGGATCTAACCAACGCCTTTATCCACTGTGCCATGTGTCCTTGAGGACATCTGGGTATGAACTTCTGAGTATTATAAACCTAATGTTTTCAGTATCATTTTTACCAGTGCTCATATTGCAATTTTTGCTGTTATCATTGCATGTTTTTACCAGAGTTCATATTGCAACTTTGTTATCATTGCTTTTCTCTGGCACTCCTTATTACTGGTTCCCATATTGTATTTATTTCTATGCTTGGTCGGCTCAGGAGATTTTTGTGGCCTAGCCTGAAGAAGGCCGGAGCGTACAACGGCCGAAACGTTGTGACAAATATGGCGACAAAGATGAGGACAATAGTCCGACTAATGTAAATACTGTACATAATACCTCATCTCAGAAATATAGACAGACTCCAAAAAATTTATTGTTGGTAATATTTTTTCTTCAAAAAACTATAGCTGGTAAATACCCTTTTTCTTTTTTTTTTCAAAAATATATTGTTGGTAATATTTTTTCTTCAAAAATCTATAGCTGGTAAATACCTTCTTTTTTTTTTTAAAAAAAATGTATTTCTGGTAATATTTTTATCTTCAAAAAAACTATAGCTGGTAAATACCTTTTTTTTTTTCAAAAATGTATTTCTGGTAATTTTTTTTTTCAAAACAAATATAGCTGGTAAATATCTTCTTTTTTTTTTCAAAAACGTATTGCTGGTAATATTTTTTTACAAAGTATTTCTGGTATTAAAACCTATTTTTATACTTTCATAATGTTTTGACCCTAGTTTCGGGGTTAACTATTTGCTCATAGCTTGTACCCTAACAGGTGCTACCACCCCAGGTCAGGGTGGACCTGGGAACACCAGCAATTAATAGGTGGTTCAACGCTCCTCCAAACCTCCTGATCAGAGGCCTTGTTGTTTATCGTCTTACCCATGACGCGGATGTAGTTTATCGTTATGGTGGAACACGCCTATTCTGTAGTTAACAGACTCTCCCACCTATAATAAGTAGGAGTAGTAAGAGTAACGAGGGAGTCAGTCAGTCGGTCAGTCAGTGTGTCGATGTCGGACGACAGTTAGTCGAATACGAAAGTATCAGCGACCACAACAAGATTTCTCTGCGTTATACCTATTATATCAAGTTCCTAACGTTTTGTACGTCGAACCTATTTTAGGACCGACTTACTACAAATACAAGCCTCCCTTGCGAAATAACTCCACAACAATCGTCATACCCAGGACGGAGGAGAGAAAATAGTTAAAATAATAGCGGTGTCATGAGGGAAAAAAAAACGTCCTTTTGACACGCCATTTTTTTATTTTTTATTATTATTATTGCAGGCACGAAGGTTCAACTTATTAATTGGAGAGCCGATTTACCATACAATGACCGAAGTTGAGCAACGTCGAGGCTGGTGAGTACCTAGATGGGTAACCGCTTGGAAATACCAGGTGCTGTAAGCTTGGATGTGTCGGTGGTGCAATGGATAATGACTCGGAATTATTAATTGGAGAGCCGATTTACCGTACAATGACCGAAGTTGAGCAACGTCGAGCCTGGTGAGTACCTAGATGGGTAACCGCTTGGAAATACCAGGTGCTGTAAACTTGGATGTGTCGGTGGTGCAATGGATAATGACTCGGAATTATTAATTGGAGAGCCGATTTACCGTACAATGACCGAAGTTGAGCAACGTCGAGCCTAGTGAGTACCTAGATGGGTAACCGCTTGGAAATACCTGGTGCTGTAAGCGTGGATGTGTCGGTGGTGCAATGGATAATAACTCGGAATTATTAATTGGAGAGCCGATTTACCATACAATGACCGAAGTTAAGCAACGTCGAGCCTGGTGAGTACCGAGATGGGTAACCGCTTTGAAATACCAGGTGCTGTAAGCTTGGATGTGTCGGTGGTGCAATGGATAATGACTTGGAATTATTAATTGGAGAGCCGATTTACCGTACAATGACCGAAGTTGAGCAACGTCGAGCCTGGTGAGTACCTAGATGGGTAACCGCTTGGAAATACCAGGTGCTGTAAGCTTGGATGTGTCGGTGGTGCAATGGATAATGACTCGGAATTATTAATTGGAGAGCCGATTTACCGTACAATGACCGAAGTTGAGCAACGTCGAGCCTGGTGAGTACCTAGATTGGTAACCGCTTGGAAATACCAGGTGCTGTAAGCTTGGATGCGTCGGTGGTGCAATGGATAATGACTCGGAATTATTAATTGGTGAGCCGATTTACCGTACAATGACCGAAGTTGAGCAACGTCGAGCCTAGTGAGTACCTAGATGGGTAACCGCTTGGAAATACCAGGTGCTCTAAGCGTGGATGTGTCGGTGGTGCAATGGATAATAACTCGGAATTATTAATTGGAGAGCCGATTTACCATACAATGACCGAAGTTAAGCAACGTCGAGCCTGGTGAGTACCGAGATGAGTAACCGCTTTGAAATACCAGGTGCTGTAAGCTTGGATGTGTCGGTGGTGCAATGGATAATGACTCGGAATTATTAATTGGAGAGCCGATTTACCGTACAACAATGACCGAAGTTGAGCAACGTCAAGCCTGGTGAGTACCTAGATGGGTAACCGCTTGGAAATACCAGGTGCTGTAAGCTTGGATGTGTCGGTGGTGCAATGGATAATGACTCGGAATTATTAATTGGAGAGCCGATTTACCGTACAATGACCGAAGTTAAGCAACGTCGAGCCTGGTGAGTACCTGGATGGGTAACCGCTTGGAAATACCAGATACTGTAAGCTTAGATGTGCGGTTGGTGCAGTGGATAATGATTTGGAATTGTTAATCGGAGAGCCAATTTTCAATTTCCCTCGCGTTCGTTATATTCAATTACGCGTAAATACCCTTAGGAAATGTACGAATCCACCTCTTCTCCCCCAGCTATGGATTAATTAGTAAGATTTTGATGACTAATTATTATTATCTCCAAAAATATTATTACATTCTAAATATATTTTTCTGGCTTTAAATAACCTACAAAGCCGCAAAAAACAAATCAATCATGTTTTGAGAAATATATAAACTGGTCGTAGTATGAAATTATGAAGTTGCCTGAAAAATAACAAAAAACAAAATCTCTATTTATTTATTTATTTATTTATTTTTACATAACTAATAAACTATCACAGAAATTTTTGTCATTCGCATTAATAACGACAGAAAGTCAAGACGGAAATTTTCGTCATTCGCATGAGAGCAATAGAACTGTTATGACGGAAATTTTCGTCATTCGCAGTAAGAACGATAGAACTGTTGTGGGGGAAATTTTCGTCATTCGCAATAAGAACAATAGAACTGTTATGGCGGAAATTTTTGTCATTCGCAGTAAGAACGATACAACTGTTATGGCGGAAATTTTCGTTATTCGCAGTTAACTAGTTAATAAACTGAATTAACTTTTATACAACACAATGGATATGTCTCTTTCACAATATCAGAGGTCGGTGTTCGAATCCAAAAACAAAGCAATGATTTCAAATACAGATTTTCTCGGTAGATGTCCCACACATGGAAGACTGTGTTACACCAATCTACACGCGTCTTTTATTCTCCACCAAGTTAATCTCAGCAAAATAAAAAATAGAATGGAACGTTCTAACCTTGAGTCCTTTCCTCTGCTACTTGAACTATACATTCAAGTAACGTTCACACTGTGTGTTTCCTTATCTGTAACTACTTTAAATGTGTTCCTGGTTGATTGACTGCTGTAGGCGAAATTCCAAAATGTTAATTCTCTCACGGAACGCAGTAGCCATGTATTTTTATTCGTCTCCTTACATACTGGCAGATGACGTGATGCGTAATTTATTCAGGTTTAAGCGCAATGCAAAAAAGTATCAAGGATTTCATTTGGAAGAATGCTTTGTAGTTCATATACTAAAACGTGAACTAACTGAAAACTTCATTTACGTAAGCAAAGTCTATCTATCTCTGTCTGTCTCTATCTCTCTGCCACTCTATCTTTCTCTCCACTCTCTCATCCTATCTATCTCTCCTCCTATCTATCTCTCCCCAGTCTCTCTCTTTATCTCTCCATTCTCTCTCCATCCCTCTCTCTCTCCCTATATATATATATATATATATATATATATATATATATATGTTTCTCTCTCTTTCTCTCCCTTGTCTCTCTCTTTCACTCGTTATCTCACTTCATCCCTCTCTCTCCGCCTATCTGCTCTCTCTCACACTGTCTCTTTTTCTCTCTCTCTCGTTACTCTCACTCTCCTAGACGCTCTCTCTCTTTCTCTCTCTCCCTCTCTCTCCGCTTTCTCCCATTCTCTCTCTCTCTCTTTATCTCTCTCTTTCTGTCCCCTCTCTATTTTTCTCTATCTCTCTCCAATCTCTCTCTCTATCTATCTATCTATCTATCTATCTATCTTTTCTCTCTCTTTCTCGCCCCTATATCTCACTCTTTCTCTCTATATCTCTCCACTCTCTCTTCATCCCTCTCACTCTCTCCCAAACTCTCTCTTTTTCTCTCTTTCGTTACTCTCACTCTCCCACACTTTTTCTTTCTCTCTACTATTTCTTCCACTCTCCCTCTCTCTCTCTCTCACACACAGACATACACGCATGTACACAAATACACCAGTTCACGTACATCGACATATACGATGATCATTTAAACATACAACAGGGTCATCTCTCGCCTTTTTACCCAACGGACAATGAAACCCCGCGTTGCGTCTCTATTCTCTGAGTCGTTAAACACAAAAGCTAGGAAATACCCAATGCACGTTCACAAGGAAACAAAAAAAGGGAAGATAAACTTGTTCTGACCTGACTTCTCGGCTTCAATCGCTTTCCCACCGCCGTAACGTAGTTTCCCTATGCCCCTTTGCTATAAATACATAAATGGTAATTGTTCTTAAGAGATTTACTCCTTTGTACCTAGATTCTATATAATTTAAGCGCAGTACTAGATTGGCGGCAAGGTCTCTTCATTATACAGTTGAAATGGCAAGATGTAACCGTAAGTTCTATGCGAACAGTTTCTTCTATCTCATTTCTCCCGTGTGAAACTCTCTTCCAGCTCCTTGCTTTCCGGTTAACTTTAATCTTCAAAAATTTAAATGCAATATCAATCGTTATCTACTGTCTTCTTAATTCTTGTTCTTTTATTGTCTTCTCTCCTTAATAGTAGTTTTTCTCATATTCTCTAACACTCAGCAATCCCCTTGTGTCCTAGTGGCTTTATTGTCTTTAATCTTCAAAAATTTAAATGCAATGTCAATCGTTATCTTCTGTCTTAATTCTTTTTCTTTTATTGTCTTCTCTCCTTAATGCCTTTTTCTCTCATATTCTCTCAGACTCAGTAATCCTTGCACCTTAGTGACTTTATTGCCAAGCTTGGGGTGAAATGATTAAAAAAGATGAGACTGTAACTTTTACCACGGAAATTGTCTTTGTAGAATCTATACACAAAGCTTCATTTCTGATTACATAGACAAATTTGGAACTTGGAATGTATCATCATCATTATCTTGCAGTTAAAATGGCTTGATATAACCGTAAGTTCTATGCTAACAGTTTCTTCTATTGCACTTTTTGCTTGTGAAACTCTCTTCTGGCTTATTGATTCCAAGTCAAATTTGATCTTCAAAAATTTAAATGCTATGTCAATCATTATCTTCTGTCTTCTTAATTCTTGTTCTTTTATTGTTTTCTCTCCTTAATAATGTTTTATTTTCTCATGCTCTTTAACACCCAGTATCTTAGTGGCTTTGTTGCCTTGATTGGAGTGAAATAATTAAAAAAAACTACTTTCGCCATTTCAGACGGACTGATCAGCTTTTCCTCTGATCGATCCAGAAATCTGACTTTCTCCTACCAGTTCTTTGTTCTTGTCGGCATTATTCTTTTTGGTCAAGTGGGTGACTGCTTTTAAAGATCCTGGTTATATCGTTGGTCATAAAACACGAAACGCTTAAGACTGAGATAGAACCAACCACACAACATCTTCTCCTATGAGGATGTCCAACCATAGTGCCACAATCAGACAAAAAGAAATGTTTATAATTAGAATCCTTAGGGTTTTTTAGCTATAATTTATACAGTATCTCGAAGCCTAGGAGATAAAATTCCATGACTACTTCATGTTTTTTTTAAGTCAAAGATTCTATAAACTCTCGAATAAGTGACAACGAAATAGAACAGGATTTGGAGAATATGAAGACTGGGGAATTTTTGTCTAATCGAGGACTCTAATCTTTTCAGACATGAACTTTACTGAACATGCGTATTTATCATCACAATGGAACTCTATACTTTTGTGACTCATCTCCTTTGAAACAATATTTAAGCGTTATAATTTGTCGGATTACTCTACTTGACTTTCAAATGACTTCTGCTAACGACCGCTGAATTGCGTCGCCAAAAGATTGCAAAAGTCACGCTTTTTTTCATTTTTAAGCGTAGGATGACTTAGAGATAGGACATGTTTCGTTTACTATATGTGAGCCTTTTGAACACAACACAGAATGTATACCGCATACAAATGCTCTAAGCTGCTTTTGAAGATCCTGTTTCACAGACTTTATCGTTGGTCATAAAACACGAAACGCTTAAGACTGATATAGAGCCACACACCTTCTCCTCCTATGAAGATGTCCAACCATAATGGACACACGGGAATATCTAATAATTCTCCTAAACCATTCAAAAACATTTCTCAAAATGCAAAAGTCCTTCACGATCTTTCATATAAGTTTTGCAAACACGTACATCCGAAAAAGGATATTTTTACACACACACACCTACTTACAACCGCTTTCGTATTCTATGTAGTGTACAGAAATTAAATCCTATATATATTTTTCAACCAATAAAATCCCATCAGAAGGTTTGTTTGATAAAAAATCATCACAAGGGCATATCGAAATCCGATCTATCAGACAACCTCAAACGGATCTTCTTTCGCGCCACTGTAGAGACGGTTTTAATATATGGTGTCACTGCCATTAATTAAAACCCTTGAATCTATGCTAGATTGAACCTAGACTCGGATGCTGGGAGGGGGGTGACTAGAACTTGCCAGTTATCTACAACTTTGGACATCTAGCCATGGCCATGGCTCAAGACGGGTTGATCACCCAACATCCACTGACTGCTTATATTCTTCTAAAGTATCCATTTTTAATCACCACTCATTAATTTGACTAAAACTGTCGAGGCGTTCTAACTAGAGAACTGAGAACTGCAAATTTTAACTCCGGCTTTCCGGTTAGTGCCTATGAAAGGAACCAATTTAGCAGTGTGTGCGTGCAGCGTTACAAATTTTCGTACGTTTCCTTGGAGTAACGTCCATCGCAGACAATGGCCGTAGGACAACTAATCGACAATTGCGATAATATTAGCTAGGCTCGATAAAAAAAAAAAACTTATGCAATATGCAGATGACGCAATATTTTTCAAGGCCAAACAAATTTCAACATAAACCACAAAATAGATTTATATTACTGCACACTATTGCAAATGACCTAATCTGATGAAAAATAGAAATCAATTACACCCTGTCACTCCAGTGGGTCTAAAACTGACCGTATGGTGAAAGAAAGGAAACTAAAGCGGTTGTTTTAATTAATTTGCACAAGGATGTAGATCAATTACGACTGCGTATTCGATTCTCACTAAGTGATCCCCTTTCGGCCTTGTGCCACATTTACTTCGATGTGTAATGGTCAACAAGCTTGTATCGCTAAATCAATTACGACTGAGTAATGAATTCGATCCTCGCTAGGTGCCTCATACTTTCGGCCTTGTGCCACATCTAAGCTAAGCTTAGAATGTCATTTAGGGCACTTCGACGTGGTGTCATGGTCAGCAAGTTTGTCTCGCTTGATCAATTACAACTGAATAATGAGTTCGATCCTAGCTGGGTGCTCCATACTTTCGGCCTTGTGACACATCTATGCTAAACTTAGAAAATCATTTTGGGCACTAGAACAATTACGACTGAGTAGTGAGTTCGATCTACACTGAGTACCCCATACTTTTGGCCTTGTACCACATATAAGCTACCCTTAGAAAGTATCTCTTCTCAAGATAATACTGATAGTAAAATAAAAACAGTATTCAGATTTTATATTATTATTAGTCGAAATGTACTAAATTAATATACTTTTTTTCTTATCAAAAATTCTATTCGAAACGGTTATTTTATAAGTTGAAAAAAATTCCCACGGGTATAATTATTCAAGACGGCACTTATATTTGGTACAGAAACTGGCCAAGTGTTCATATATCTAAATACTGGTTGCGTCCAATACTAATTAACTTTATTTACTTACTAGCAGTAGAGCCCGGCGTTGCCCGGGGATGTAACAGTAAGAGATAGATCAAGTATCGACCATCATAAAGACTGAAAAATAAAATTAACAAAGATTATTTTTTAAGGTTGACGGACACGCATGTCTTAATTAGTTTTTTTTTTGTTTTGTTTTTTTTTACGAATTGGTCAAACTCAAACTCAAACAAAAACATTGTTTTCAATCGTTATGAGTCTACCGATGGAATAGAATCTTATAAACAATTGTCTTGTAAATGGAATTTTTAAAGCATTCTGAATGCAAAAATAAAGAAAAAAGTGTGCAAGACAATAAGAAACACTACCTGCCAAAAAAAGTTACCTGTCCTGAGAGCATCAAGTTTTCCAAACCTACTTTCCTCATTATGTACCCTATCAATTCGAACTCTTTTCTTGATGTTATATATAAGTTTCTTTTTCGTTTCCATTTTCTCTAAAATTTTATCATTGGTCACATGTTCGTCCCAAACTGCTCTCAGCATCCGTCTGTAGAACCACGTTTCTGTGGTTTCAAGTCTCTTCTTCACCTGTGAGGAGATTGACCAGTATTCACTGCCATATAGTAGGATTGATATTCCGTAACAGTTCAGTACACTTTTCTTTGTTTCTCTTGTTTCAAGTCACTTCTTCATCTTTGAAGAGATTGTCCAGCATTCACTGCCATATAGGAGGACTGATATTACGTAACAGTTCAGTACTCTGTTCTTTGTTTCTGTTGTTTCAAGTCACTTCTTCATCTGTGAGTAGATTGTCCAGTATTCACTGCCATATAGGAGGACTGATATTACGTAACACTTCAGTACACTTTTCTTTTTTTCTGAGACACTTGTCTTACACCCCTTCCAATCTGTATGCAGGTGATTTGCTGCCAGTATAGGTTCTAGATTATTCTAATATCCTTCCCAAATAAATCCATGTAACCTAGAGGTTCCAACAGTTTTTTGTGATGTATTTCTCAAACACTTTTGTATAATCTAATACTGATCGTAGAATAAATACTGATCGTATTAGTATTACTGATAGTAAAATAAATAAATAAAAACAATATTCACATTTGATATTACTATTTGCTGAAAGGTTCGGCTAGCTTGAGGGAGATGGGAATTAAATAGAAAAATACGTTTACTTTATAAGTTGAAAAATTTCCCACGGGTATAATTATTCACGACGGCTCTTCTATATGCCGTGTATCTTTAGGACGTTGGCGATCATGGCTCGCCACAATTTCCTGTCCTATGTACCTCATAATAAATCTTGTCTTTTTGTTAT